ATGTTCAAAAGCTCTTGTCCAGCTGTTGGCTGCTTTTTAATCTGTTCCTTGTCATTTATTTTCTTACGTTTACGACAAGAGTAGGAGTAACGAATCCTGTCCTCTCGGCTCCAAAAAAGCAGAAATTATTCCTGAAAAACATCTGACATCTTCAGTTTTTTACTTCAATGCATAAACACCAATGCATAACGCTGAGTCCTGGATCATTGTCATGCTGCAAAATGAAGCCATTACCAATCGAATTGAAATATGGCTATACCTTTCTGTGTTTATAATTCCATCGGTTTTTACAAGATCCACAACACCACTGGCTGAAATGAGGCCCAAACCAATAAAGAGCTTCCACAGTGTTTTACAGATGGCTGTAGACAATCCTCTACAGCCTCTCTGCTGACCCCTATTCATACTGATGACAATTTGAACCAATAGTGTCAAACTCACTCCATAAGGTGCTTATTTTCAGTCCAGTTCTTGTGTAATTTGACATACCTCAGCCTCTCCCTGTTTCCCTTTCTTAAGAATGACTTCTTGGCAGCCACCCTTTCACTGAGAACATTACTGTTGAGGCCTTCAGGTCCTGCATCAGGTCTTTGTTTTTTTGTTTGTTTTTTAATATTTCTTAAGGACTTTCAGATACTGTTCATCTGCTGTAGATCATTTTTAGGCCTACCTTCCCTGCTTGTCCAGTTTCTTCAATTTTTTAAGGATACACAAGTTTGCAGCTGTTTAGGAATCACCTTGTTGATGGAAAAATACAATTTTATGCCAGTTTAACTGGAAATTCTACTAAAGAAAATGAAACAAATTGTGAGACAGGCTGCTAGTAACAAAGCGTATGAAGATATAATTCAAAATTGCTTCTTTGCTAAATTCTCTGTTATGTGTCGACACAACACTGGTTCATCCCTTAGGTTAGGTGTCTTTTTATGCTTGAATGACCTATAGGTCAGTGTAAAGTGACTCAACAAACAAAAAAAAACACTTCTCTGAAAATGGTCAGGTATGTCCAAGGAAAACCTTTAAAAGACCTTCACAAAGCCTGGAGAACTGTTGCTCAAGCCCACTACATAAAAATCACAAGAAAGTTTGGGTCCTTGGAAGCAAAATACAAAGACATGAGGGGTGGCTGAACAATTTTGAATGGAAATATGCATCACTTGGAGGTTTACACTTCATTTGAAGCAAAAAACTGAAGACATCAGATGTTTTTCAAGAATAAGTTCTGCTTTATTTGGAGGCGGGAGGACAGGATTTGTTACTCCTGCTCTTGTTGTAAACATAAGAAAATAAATGCACCATTCATGAAAGTTTTTTGTCATGTATTACCTACTCAGCTCACGTCATCAGATGCAGTCATGTAGTAAAAGAATCGAACTACGTAGTGACCAAGCCCACACCTTCCTGTCTGGACCACGTTGAAAACAGAGACCTATTGATAATTTAAATAACTGCAGAAATGTCACCAAACAGATCTCTTAAAGTCCTCCCAGGAATGTTAAATTTGATTTAAATCTCATTATTTGAAGGTGATTAACTTTAAGTTGTATGAGATGCTTTTTGGTGGCGTGGACATAGATCTCTTTTTCAAACAAAGAGGGACTTTCAAAAGTCTGGATAGAAAGAAAAACAAACCAAACAGCTCTGAATCAAAGCATTAAGCTATAGAAAGTCCCCTTTGACTGTCCTTCAGGCGCTCTGAGGGACAAAAAGATGCATCAAAGGAGAATTGTAAAGTGGGAGAGGCTTATTTGGACATCCTGAAATTAAAACTAAAATAAGTTTTAAAGACATTCGGTTCACTTTAAAACTTTCAGCAGTTCTTAACAACACATTTTTAAGCTTGTTCTTTTACACTGTTGTTCAGATGAAATGTGTCTTCTACATCCTAAAAGTGATTCAGCAAGTCTTTTCTCATGTCTGAACCTGTGCTTTGATCCACATTCTGCTGTCTTTGGTGTGTTTTCCCTATATGTGCTCTGTCGAGTCAGCATCAAGCAGCAGCTACCATCAACAGCTCAGCCACATGTTCCCAGCCTCCCCTCTCAGACACACAAAGCACCACACACACACACACACATCCTCACATCCCTCCCTTATTCTACTATCCCATGTCCTCAATGCAAACACAAATAAGCACCAGTAGAAGCAGGTGTCCTTCCACTGGGATAAATAAACAGTACACCAGGATCCAGGAGCAGGAGGTTGTGTCTGCATGGGAGTGTGTCAGGGATGTGGGGGGATCGGTAGGCAGTTAGGCTAGGTGGGTGGGGTGGGGTCGTTGGAGAGTTTCTATGTAAGTGTTTGTGTGAGGGGGAAACTTTGAATATATCTGATAGCATCTCTTAAGACCCTTCTATTGCTAACAAAGCTGTTTGTTTTCACTCAGACTTCCTTTTCATCTTGCTTGTTTTAGAGTCATAGCTCACAGCTAATTGCAGAGCAAATGGCAATCAAACAATCCTAAATGTGCCGTATAGACACATGACCACTAATTTATTCAAACTTTTATGCGTGACTGCCAGTGCTAGTGTGCTTCTATTCCAAGCTCTTGGTTCAGTGGTGTCATCACTTTATTTGCACTCTTGATGTGGCTTTCGGAACTAATTTGCCTGTTTCTTACCTGCAGCTGTGCAGACTGATGCTTATCTGTCCTCTGGAAGAAGGTAAACAAGCTTCTGTAACATCATCTAGTAGTAGAGACACAGGTGGGACGAAAGGTGTACTTACCGTTAAACAGAATGGAAAAAGTGCCCCCAGCTATGTGAGGGAATATGTTTAGGTGAGTGAGGGGTCCCATGATTGGAACTTTTTAAATTCAGTTTCTTGTTGCCTTCAAGATACCCAGAAACTGACAAAAAAAAGCCCAAAGCATAATTCTTTACTTGCTTTACAGTTTTATCATCTTGTTTTATTGCATTAAGACAGGTTACTGTAAGTGTTTGTATTCATCAAAGATGTTTCATGTAGTAAATACTGATACACATGGTTTTATATCAGGCACACTGATACACCACTTGTGATATTTGTCATGTCACTTATTCATAAATTTGAACGCACAGGTATATACCGACCACTGATGTCAGTAGATGGCATCTTATTTGTTGATATCATTTAATAGCAGGTCCGATATTGGCAATACCCATGTTTCACTACTATATCTGTGCATCCCAAAGAAATTAGTGTAAACTATCTTCTTACGATGTTGTCACAGCAGCTTCTGTGTGACTTGGCATCGTTGCTGCAAAATTCTAATAATCTGGTACTCAAACATCTTTCTTGGAGCCAGCTGGCTAAAAGGTTGGTCCAAATTTTCATACAGGCCATAACACACAATTCGGGTAATTTCCAAACCATTAAGGGACTCCTTTAGCCTTATGGATGGAGGTCATACTGGAAGAGGTGAATCCTATCAGGATAGAAATAGTTCAACATGAATGAAATCCCTTAGATGAGGACGAGGTGGCAGGTGTGGGCAATTAAATTTCCCAAGGGGCTGCATGAGAATCTGGGACTGTTGTGGACAGTCGCACCTATAATCTGAACTCAATTAACATCAATTTTAAGTCTTTATAAACTGCCACTAATAAAAGAAGTGTTAACAGTTAGTGAATGAATGGCTCACCCCTGCTCTGAGGGCACAAGTTAGGTTAGATGAGGTTAGATTATTTTATTTGTACCCGTAGATAGATTTGAGCTGCATTACTTAGTCATACTCATATGTACATTTTCAATGCAAGCACAGACAACAGCCAACAGCATGTTGGCCAACAGCTTAACACAAAACACTGAGGAAATAAATAAATAACAATGACAAAGAATTCCCACAGCATCATGTAGGATAGCAAAGGATTTCCAGGAAGACCCACGTTATCAAAAAACTCTCACAGAGCCACCATACAGAGACAGAGGGTTCTCCTTTAATTTGTTGCCTTTGAATTGAGTTCATGCTCATAAAAACAGGTCTCCACTTATCCACAGCATGCTGATCATTTATCAGTGAATTACGTTATTAGTTTACTAAACGTCTTATTACCGTGTTATACAGGAGTTATCGGTGTAGACTTTAAAAGAGCGCGCTTGTTCATGTCTTTGTGAAGTGAATCAGGTCTTTCTGCCACAATAATCTCCATCATAGTAGCTCCCACATAGTGACATCTATGAAGCCTGCAGGTGTGTACAAATAAGTGAATATTTCCTTAGTGACTCTAATCATCAAAGACTTTCTTTCCTTTTTTTTGTAAATCATTTTAATTTTTAAGTCATCCCAATAAATTTTGCACTGGCCTTTTTTAGGGGTAGGGGGAATATATTTCTCATTTAATATTCCCATATGATAAAATCACAGCTTTTAAAACCCAGTTTTACCACTGCTTTCTCCAAACTCACCCTACAGCTGCAGGTAGGCCATCAGGTGAGCCAATCACAAGCCCGGCAAGGGCAATTGACAGTAAGACCCCGCCTCCCGTCCACCTGTAATCCAATCCGCGTCCTTGTCACAGGTAAAACCGGCCTTAATTTCTAAGCATTGCCCCAAAAAGCGAGAAAAGCCGACAAAACCCGTTCTCTCAGGAGGGGACACCTTGTTTGTTGCCGTGGCCCTTATCCAGTGTTAGCAGCGGAGTTTTCCAGGGTGGTAAAGAAGACGGATCGGATTTTCAGTACCAACTAGAAAGTCCAGTTCGACCGACCGAGATGTCACAGGAGCATGACAAGTAAGTTGTCCTGACTCCTCTGTTAGCCCGCACAACGAGCATGTTGACACTATAAGCTTGTAATACTGACTTTAATTGCTTTTGTGGATTTTCTGATTATTTTTGCAATTTATTTTTTTAAACAAATACATTCATTGCACTGACGGATTTTTCAAAAGCCGAGGTCACACTGTGACCTGCAGCTGCAGCCTTCTGTATTTTTCTCAAAATCGTGTCCTGATGTTCGTGTCGCATATAAGCATGAGCCTATTCTACGATCATTATAGCTCCTTTTAAAAGGGTAAGTGTGCTCTGTTACAGCGGGTTGCCAAGCGGGGAGTTGGTGTAGTCTCATAGTTTCCCATGGTGTTGTAACTCCGCTCGTTTCACCTGTCATGTTCGAGCCTGTACAGGTGTACCTCCACCTGTCGTGCGAGCTGGAGGCGACTGTTGGAATAAGAGCCGTTCCGGAGTAGAGATGGGCGGTTGTTTGATTTTGCCTTAAGCTTTAACTGTTATGTGGATAGTAGAAATGATGTTTGCTCAGGAATAGGCACAAGTCTCCGGCAGCAAGGTGTCAGCCAAGGAAAACTGCCTCTGCACAGGTGTAAAAGAGTTTTAATGGAAGATAGAGCTTAAAATAATAAAATAATAAAAATAAATCAGTGTTTTTCAGATATATAAATGTTTAGTTTGAGATATATTCTGTATTCTGTGTGTGGGGGGGTTTGAGGGCAGTGACAAGGAGACATTTGAGGGGAGTGAAATCGTACACCTGCTAGGCGTTGGCCCCACGACTAACATAGACAAGCGAGCACAGGGCTATCTGAGGTTTTCATGGATTTTACTCTACACTGCTGTGTGTGTTTTGTTTTGTTTTTTTAATTTAAAATGAGGGATTAAAGCTCTTTTCTCTAAATGTCCAAAAAAGTAGTGTTATTTATTTTTTTTTACTGCTCCTGTACATTAAAGTGACAGAAGTCTGGACTCATGCTGCCTTACTCACTTTATTTCTTGACATCTCAGTGTAATTTTTGCCTGATCAGCAATAAGACTCTTCATTGTTTTAGTAAATAATGGCTTATATTGCCTTACCTTAGATATATTTTTTTTTATAGCCAACACATAATGGATTATATCAGGTTGCGTTTAGATATAGGGTTACTAATTATCACTTTCTCTGACCACTGGGAGACAAAAAAGTTGTATTTGTTGTAGATACTCAACATGGAAACTGATCCAGTCCGTTCACACTTTATAATAATTGGCTGAAGAGGGGGATATATGCGGTTTCCGAAGTTTGTGGATGAAACTTTAATAACAAGAGCTCCATTAATGACTTTACTCTGACTGGGGCTTAACGCGTCTCAGCAAACAGAAGCTGTGTAAACATTAAAATTTACTGTAAACAGGTGACTTCAGTGCAAACGTCGCAGGCTCATCATCAGCCATTTCGTACACGCAGAGGCGTTTTTGTTTTACTTTAAATGTAATGCACCCAGGTTCAAATAGCTTAAGCTTGCACACTGTGCACAGCATACCAAGGCGATGTTGAATTTTGAAGAGGAAGAGAAGGAGCGCGAGGCAGGCGGCTACTGAGCGTTAAAATCTCGTGATTATTTGTCACAAACAAGTTCGTTTGCAAGCACAGCGCAGGAATGCAGCCGGGTCAGATGCGTCACATGCGGGCGGCTTCTCAACCAATGAGTGATCCCCGAACTAGAGTCGTTACACTGGACGATCCTGTAGAGCATCTTTTTCTCGATACACCTTCTGCCTCTGTGGTTCAGCGGCAGAGATTTGTTGCACAATCCTCGAAAAGCCTGACCAACTGGTCCTGCAGATGAAAAAAAAAACATCTACATGGGTGATCTCTCGCTCTTATAACCTGTTTGTCTGTTTTGAGCGACACTGAGATTTCAGGTCCCGGTCTGGAGAGCTTATGTGGAGTCAGTGTGGAAAATAAGTCCATAACAGGAGATGAATCCCTTCTAGTATGGACGGCTCTTCCCTTTTGCTGCGCACATCCATGGCTTTTATTTCATGTCATTAACTGCTTTGTATGCGGTAACTAAAGCACACACTCTCCCCCTTTTAGCAGTAAACGTGCGGTCCTGGTTCTCCAGAACGAGCCGGGTTATGGCGGCCAGCGTCGCTCTTTCACCACAGAGGATGAAGCCTGGAAATCTTTTCTGGAGAACCCGCTGACAGCTGCCACCAAGGCGATGATGAGCATAAATGGAGACGAGGATAGTGCCGCAGCTCTGGGTCTGCTCTACGACTACTATAAGGTATCAGGAAAAGCTCAGCAGGAATAGTTTCTCCCCTCCTTCTATGAGGAGTAGTGCAAAATCACATACTGGAGGAATAGTTGCCAGATTCTTGCAAACTTTCCCTCTGTGATCCTCACCCTTAGTGACATCTGATCATTAAGTAACATCTGTGAGACAGAGTCTACATTATGTCATGTAACTGATCTAACTATGCCTACAAACAGCAGGATGACCCAGTCTGGTAGATGTGATGTGGTCAGACGCTGAGCGGCTGTGTTTACTCTCGTATACAGGTGCCCAGGGAAAAGAGAACAATACACCAGCCCAAGACAGACACACTGGTCTCTGATGTGGATCCCAACAAAAGGTAAGCGGCAGTCCTCTCCGCGTACCACCTCCCCCTTTAAAAATAAAAGCACAGCAGAGGGCAACAGCAGAAAACAAGAGAGCGATTCAAGCTCTTGTGATATGATTTTTAAATTCTATTTAAAAACTGTATGCACATTTATCCTCAGGAGTGTACCTGTTTTCTCCAGAGCAGCAAGGAAAAACGATTATTGACATTAGGATTTCTTTTGCTGCTTTAGTCAGGCGTACTAAAATAGCTGCTCCGAGTGTCATAGAAGACATCTTTAAATTCTCAAAAAAGGAAGGAAAATGTCCGGTGTACAAATTCCTTTGTGTTATCAATGGGTCGTTAATCAGTTCTCAGGCATGGCAACACCAAAGGTGAAACCCAGGACTGAGAAAAGGGAGAAGCAGAAAAACATATCATATAAATAACCCATTGTTTCAAGGTTTATCAAAGCAATGATGTATTGTATTGGAGATCTAAAATTTATGTGCACTTCTACTTCGTCACAGGCACCAGATCCAGGCCGGACACTCCATAGTCCAACTCCAGGAAGCCAGTATGGAAAACAGGATCCCGGTGCTCAAGCCTCCCTTCAATATTCTTCAGCTGGGCCCAGACAAGAGAGCCCACTTTTCTTCACCAGGTCTGCTCTGATTCAGCAACACAAACAGAAAAAAACAGAAAAATTTAGAAACCTGATGATCAGTTAACTGTTTTGGGGTTTTTGCTTTGTTTTGTTTGTTCAGATACTACTGTCACAGTTTCCATTGCCACCGTGCCAAACCAGACTATCAAGACAGAGGTGCCCACTCACGGCTTCTCGGTGACTGTGCCAAACAACTGCAGCGAAACGGAGAGCCACGTGGGCGTCTTTGACCGCCAGCTCACCCACAACGCGGTCCATTTCAGCCCTGGCACCCAGGCTCGTACGCCCCCTGACTCCACCTTTCCCGAGAGCTTTAAGGATGGTTCCCAGGAAGTGAGTGTTTCGATGCCCCCCCCCCCCGTCAAAACCCTGCCAATGCTCTCCCAGCACCCCCTCCACTCCACCTCCTCCTTCTCCTTCGCGTTCCTCTCCTCTCCCCTCTCAGATCTCTCCCATCAGACAATAGGATATTCACCCGATCCCATGGAGCCAGCGGTGGGCTCAACCTTCCCTGGTTTTATTTGAACATGCCAAAATAGTGGCCAGTGTGTTATTATGCCATTGTCTCACCAACACAATAAAGTGCTGTACTTTTCTCCTACAATAGCCAAAGCCCTTTCTCTCTCCTCTTTCTCTTTTTAACCTGGAGGGGAATTACCTCAGAAAAGCCAACAAAACCCCTGTACAGGAGGGGGTGGAGGTGGCCGCAGAGCCATTTTTTTTAAACAAAAACCAAAATGAAGGGGAATAAAAAACACCAAAACAAACTGTTATACCTGATGAGAGAAAGCCTAGCCTAATAAATGACTAGAATGAAACACAGTGTTCATCTAGTTGCTTACACAGTTTGCTAGTTGAAGAAAATCATCTAAAATTTATGCAAAGCAGCTGTTGTATTTCCTGTTCCCATGCTTTGCTTGATTCTGTTTTCCTTTTTTGCGCTTCAGGTGTTTTCCCTCCCAGGAGATCTCCAGTTTCGGATGACCTCCATGACGCCCGAGGACTACACTCAGTTTGACACCGTGCCGGGGTAAGTCGCCCTGCCGCCGGCCCACCGTCCAACTTCCACACCGCCATTCAGCTTTTGACACGGCACAGCAGAATGGCTTCATTCATCTCAGTCACAGGGGAGACACCAGACTCCCGTCTGTGTGTCTCACAAGTGTCTGCACATATTTAAAGCCCGCTAGGTGTTACTCTGCTGTTTCATTCGTCTCCTCGGATTTGTTTACAGAAGGGAATTTTTTTTAAACGCAGCATGCTGTTGTTTATGGTATTCACTAGATTTGACCTTTATTTTTGTGTGTCTCAGGAATAATTTTGAGTACACTCTCGAGGCATCCAAATCTCTGCGTCAGAAGACAGGTGACGGGACAATGACGTACCTCAACAAGGGCCAGTTTTACCCCATCACCCTCAGGGAGATTGACAACAAAGGCCTGCAGCAACCCATCACCAAAGTCAGGGTAAGAAAGAGCACTTAAAAAACCAGGAAATGACATATAATTCATTTCAGATCAATTCAGTTTTATTCATATAAAAATGACAACTACAGTTGTCTCAAGTCCCTTATATTGTAAAGTAAAGACCCTACAAAATACAGAAAAACCCAAAGGACTTGGCGACAGTGGGAAGGAAAAACTCAGTTTTAACAGGAAGAAACCTCAGTGTGGGGCAACCATCTGTCATGGCCGGTTGGGGATGAAGGGAGGAAGACAGGAGAAAGTGTATTGCAAAATCTGATTATTGACAGTCATATTAAGGTATCACTGTGCTTTATTTTTTTTCCTCAGAGCGTGGTGATGGTTGTGTTTGGAGAGGAGAAGTGCAGAGACGACCAGCTAAAACACTGGAAGTACTGGCACTCCAGACAGCACACGGCTAAACAGAGGTGCCTCGACATCGGTAAGTTCTGAAAAACGATGTTTTCATAATAAACCACATCGTGAAATAAAACAAACCAAACCTACCAGTTTGAGTGCGGAGACATAGCGGACACGCTAATCCTCATCTGTCTGCAAACTCAAGCAGCTGTTTGTAAGCACAGCTTAGCAGGAAAAGGTGTGTTCTTTGATTGTGACAGCTCATTTTGCTTTTGATGGATTACTGTTAGTCTGTAACTTTCATAAATCTCAGCATATGTTGAAGTTACCTTACCTTTCTTACTTTTTCTGGTTTGTTTTTTATCATTTATTTAGATTTATTTAAATGGGCTAATTTCTTTTTTACTCGGCATAAAGCAGTTAATATGCTTTCAATACATCATTTATTAATAACCAACATCTGTTGCTCCAGCTGACTACAAGGAGAGCTTCAACACCATCGGCAACATTGAGGAGATTTCATATAACGCCATTTCCTTCACCTGGGACACAAACGAGGAGGCCAAAGTAAGTCAGTGGACTGAACGCATCCACACCCACATCCACACCTTCACAGGTACACGGCTGCCTGACACCCCCACTGACATCTCTGACACGGTTGTTGCTTGAACCAAGTCCAAACATGACAGTTCACTGTTTGCACTTCAGTGTTCCTGTCAAAACAAGAACAGTGTTTGGTTCTCAGGATCACCGGTGATCCGAGGCTTCCGCGTACTTCCTGGTCTTGAACGTTTAAATATGAGGCTTGACCTTTTAACAACAACAAACTTAGACACCTAAAAATAGTCCTCCTTTTCTTTTTGTTTGTTAAGGCCCCGTGCCTGAATGACAGTGTCAGGTGCCGAGTCCCCTTTATGGGTGATCGTCATCCCCTTTGCTCACTTTGATCCCCCCAAAAACAGTTGTTAAATATAATTAGTGGTTTTAAAAAAGAAGAGTGAGGATGCGGTCATGTCGCAGTCACTCCTCTCCTGTGTGGTTACTCAGGTTGTGTAAAAACACAGAGGTGTAGGTGTGTGTGTGAGTGTGTGTGAAAGAGAGAGTTATTCCTACACTCTGTTCTTATATTCTTGACTGGTCCAACCTGCCTGTCACCCTTATTGTGATGTCGCATGTTTAGGTATTTTTGGACATGAGAAACAAAGAGTGCAGGAATGAGGAAACTCATTGGGAAGGGAGGTGACCAGATGGAACAGTTGTCAAACAAAATCCGTCAGAAAGGAGGAGCTCCTGTCCTCGTCTCCACTCATCAGAATCAGAATCAGAATCAGAATACTTTATTGATCCCTGGGGGAAATTATTATTATTTTTTTGTTACAGTGCTCCATTTTAAACCAACATTAAGACAAGACAGACAATACACTAACTAAGAATGATTGTTTCTTTCTTTGTTCCCAACCCTCGTGCTGCCCTGTGGCTCTGCTCTGCTCTCGGCCTGAGATGGAAGACTACTGACAAGGTGGCAAACAGACAAAGAGACAACACGGCGCTGCCGCTCATCACCGGCGTACTTTTCTTTAGGCTACACTTTGGATAAATAAAGTCACATGAACAGACCTTCCTAAGCACACACACACTTATACACACACTCACGCTTGCATACCAGGATGTGGGTCTAACTGTCTCATGACTTGTGGCATGCATTCATAGGATGTTCATCCTTGTGTGTTTTTGTTACTTCACCATTTGTATAACCGCCCAGCCACATTGTTTGAGCATCTCATCAGCGAGGTGTTTGGTTACAGATGAAGGTGTTTGGCGTGTGTGTCTTTGGATGGATGTCTGAGAGGATCAGTTTGGGTTTCTGACCTTGGGAAGTGAGGTCAATTTACATGCTGATGGGATTTCAGGATATAATTAGGAGTTTAATCATTTCGTTGTGTTAGTTAATATTGGTGTGTGTTAGGGTGAGAAGTCCGTTAGAGGAAGTACCTGTATGTGTGTGGTTTGCCCTTGGGCTGAATGCATAGCAGTATATGTGCATATATCAAAGTGTACTGTATATGTAACCCTTATATAGTCCTGTGATGATGGGGGTAATAAAGGTTATAAGATGAGGAACAAAGGCAAAAGTTATGTAAGGCTTTACTATATCAAATCAAGGTTGCAAATCATATTGTTTTAGTATATTTACATCAAAACAGCACCAACATCCAAACTGTCTGCATGTGTGTGGTTGTTATTGATTGAAACAGCTCAAAAAAGGAAGAAAGAGTATTAGATCGTCCACAGTAACATGCTCTATGGAAAAGCTTGTGACGCTGCATCAGTTCTCTTTAAAAGTACTTTTGTTATCAAGTCGAGTTCATCGATTTATTAAGTGCAGTTTTATCATATGATTTCCATGACTTCCATTACTCGTAATACTAAACTGGTTACATTTTAAATACTATAAGACATTATATTGAATGATTTGGATTCAAAGTAACACCTGGTATTCCTTTAGTGTGTGTGAATTTTTAAATTAATTATTAATTATTGTCCCCAATTAGGTTTTATGGATATAAAATGATGTATAAAATGTTTCTGCTCCAAACAGACTTTTTCCTTAACGTTTAAAATATAGTTGTTGACCATTAAGGACCATTAAAGACTGTTAAATGTCTTCATTTGTGGAATACGCCAAATGAACGACAAAGGCTATATTTATTTGTACACTGCTTAACAAATTAATTAAATCAATTCAAACTAAAATCTATCAAATTCACTGAACATAGTTCAGGTGGTTATAGCCAAATTTCAACACTGGACTTCTCTGAGAAGTCAGAAATAACTCGAGCATAAAAATGATTTACTTTACTATTGTTCTGCTCTTTTGTAAAACAGCAAATTAAATATATAGACAAGAAAACGCACACGTGTGGCAGAAACCTTACATTTGGTGGTGATCTAATAAATTTGTTAAGCACTTTCCCCTTGAGACTTTTCTATGTGGTATTTTTAAACCTGTCTTGATTGTGTGTTGTGTTAACACAGTTAGAGTGTGTTTTCAAAGCAAATAACCAGGACAAAGGAAAGTAAAATGAGCATGTAATTACTAAAGCCCACCAAAAGAGGCCAGCAAAAGACACTGAAAGCATGTGAGGCCTGACTATGAGGTATCTAGTGCAAAAAGGCCTTCCTGAAAGTTAAACGTCATTGCATTGGCTTCATGATTAAGAAGCAGTTTCTACTTTAATAAACAAACTTTTGAGTTTAAAGTTGTACATTAGTCTGCTTCGGTCCTCAACTTTCTTCCTCTCTCCTCCCCTCACAGATCTTCATCTCCGTCAACTGTCTGAGCACAGACTTCTCCTCTCAGAAAGGGGTGAAGGGTCTTCCCCTGAATCTGCAGATCGACACTTACAGTTACAACAACCGCAGCAACAAGCCCATCCACCGTGCCTACTGCCAGATCAAAGTCTTCTGTGACAAAGGCGCCGAGAGGAAGATCCGAGATGAGGAGAGGAAACAGTCCCGCAGGAAAGGGAAAGTTGTCGACCTAAACTCTGGGCTGGCTTGTAAGTTGCTCTTAAGTTTTAGGATAATCAGCTACAACATATCATTACTAAAATGACCAGAGGCTTCCACAGTACGATCAATTTTCATTTCAAGTCGCCCTGACACATGTATTTGTTAAAATGATTTCCTGTATGTAGATGAAAACATCCCCTTAGTGTGTTTACCCCCTGAAGCTATAGTTCCTCTGAGCTCTGCAGCATGTTTCAGCTTGCTTCAGCTAAACATTTTTATTTTGAAGACCTACGCTACAACTTCACTATAACTACACTCTAATACTGGAAACCAGAATAGAGCAAAGACAAGAGTAAATGTGGTCCTCATGTGTCCAGGAGGGTTTCCTCTGCATTTGCTGGATAACTTTCAGCAAACATGTATTCAATCAAACCTTGTTTCACTCATGTCGTGTTATGTTTGACTTCATCCTACTGCATGAATATTAAATTGCTTCCTGCTGTCTTCCCCTCAAAGTTGCAGACATGAAAGTACCAATGCTCCAGAAACGTAACGATGTCACCATCTTTAAGATGATGACTGATCTCGAGACCCAGCCTGTCCTCTTCATTCCCGACATTCACTTCTCCACCTTCCAACGTCATGTGAGTGCCGATCAAAGCCGCAAAACTTTTTTTTTCTTTTAGGCCACCACTGAAAACTGTATGTTTCCTGCCATTCCCAAAGCACGAACGTGTCTGTTGCAACATTCATAGCATCTTAGGTGGTCCATAAACAGTTTGTTTTTCAGCTTCCGCCCACTCGGCTGCCAGCTGAGTTGAGGTGACCTGCCTGCTTGCTAGTTGGCAAGAACAGAGAGTTCTGGTTTTGAGCTTTGATACAAGTCCTACATACTGATGGCTAGGTTTCAAACTGGTTACTCACACCATGATTCATTTACCAGTGACTCAAAACAAACCGGCGTACAACCACCTTGATTTATGTGTTCATATGCTCGGAGCAAAAAATAGTCTTGGTGCACAGGGAGAGAGGAGTGCAGTTTTCCTGTCGGTTTGTGGAAACATGTTGCAGAGGATGAGGAGAGATATAGGAGTTTACCTGAACTCTGCAGGTTATCTGGCTTTTTTATGAGTTTTAAACGGAAGGAGCGCCTCTTCTTTAGAACTGGACTCTGAGCTCTGCCACAGTGAACACGTCACATGGCACTTTCAAGATGAGCACGCCACACGGCGAAGCATGCACACCTGACGTGCTCACATGAGTTTACCGGGCAAAGGATACTGTTTTTGAGAAATTCCACTAGGTGTGAGCTTTGACTGCCCCCTGTTGGTAAATGATGCAAGTAGGACACCAACACCCCCCCACCCCCACCCCCTCCCCCTTCTCTCATGCATGTGACGTTTACATTAATACCAGGAAAGCAGAGGAAGAGACAGGAGGTTGGTTATTTTTGGGGATGCCATTGACATTGAACCTGACCGAACTCTCTGTAGCCTCGCTATCAGTTTTTGATAACCAACGGGTTTGCTGATGTTCCTCTCAGAATAGAAAATCTATTCACAGCAATGCCTGTAATCGATACAGTCAAAGGGCGAAAGGCTAGAAAAACAACAGCCTTCCAGGAATTACAAAAAAAAAAGAGTTGGATCATTTTAAATCAGAGGATCTGCTTTTTTACTTTGTTTCATATGATAAAAAAAAACTCTAATATTTATTAAGAGCCTGCAATCTGAAGGCATTAAGTTGATGTGTTTGAGACTAAATGGACAAGTTCTACTTTATTCTCACATTTTGCAGTCAAATTTATTCAATCGGGTGATAGATAAATAATGACACTAATCGATATTTGGTATTTAACACGAGCGCTAACAAGATAAAAAAGGAGTGCAGTTGCGTGAGCCACAAGATACCAGTGAGTCCTGTCAGTCCACCCGACCTGCACTTCACCGTCCACAGCTGTACAGACTGGTTTATGTTGACCAGTTCCAATTCTCAGTGATAAAGGAAGAATAAATGGGGCACCACAGGAAACTATTTGGACTCGGCTGTTGACTTTACCTTTGGCCTAGTTGACTGATTTAGCCACTACCATGAAGAGTTACGTGAAAAGTTACAACTGCAGCCTGTGGAATGCAGGAAATTGGTTAAAAACGTGTTTGGATATATTTTAACTTCACAAAGCATCATAAATATTTGATAACAATTAACTATAATGCAAATAAATGTATTGTGAGATGCTGTATATAGTTTGTAACCTTTATGTTACATTTGAGTGAAATTCTTCTTTTTCTCTCTGTTTTGCAGCCCTTCTCCACAGATGATGGAGAAGACAGGTGAGTTCACTTCACATTTGCTTCATGGTAGCTTTGAATTGCCGTGACCTTTGACACTTCCCGGTAAAATACATACAGGGTTGCGGTTTCTAGGAAATGTACGTGAGCTTTTTTGTCTGTGCTCGTGCTTTATGGCCTGTCAGCCGGTTGTTGAGACCATTTAAGCAGCTGTTTGTGTGCGTGTGTGTTTCAACCACAGCTCGGGCATGAAGAGATTACCCTTCAGTGACGATGAGTTCGGTTCACCCCAAAACAAGCTGCCGAGAGTGGAGGAAGCAAAGAAAGGTACTACGTGTGTTTGCTGCTGTAGTGCAATGTCCACACTGCTCATGTTCTAATCAGCAGCCTTTGAGTGATGCTCCCCTGTGCGGCTGCGTGTGCACATGCGTGTCCGTCTGTGTTTGCTGTGGTCAGCGCCTGTAGCTCCACACATACATACACACAAACACACACACACTCTCCCTCGCTCTCTCTCTGGGCCATGTGATAATTCCAAGTCTTCCAACATATGCACGTGCCCCAGCCCTCCACTGACCCAACGAAATACCACAGATCACTGCGTGCATGCAGACATCTATGCAAACAAGCATTTACCCTTCACCACCTATCCCATTCATAGACACTACAATTTTCAATACATTACAAATCTGTAAATGCATGTTTTGAAATATTTTGTAGCTTAGGGAGGAATGTTTTAAACATTCAGGCCTGCTTCAAAGTGCTTCTGCACAAATGCACCTCTCGTACCTTCACAAAGCCACGCTCGACCTTGTTAAATACATTCTTGCGGAAGGATGTTAACCACAGAGAGGGGAGGAAGGAGTCACCGATTGCATGTTTTTTCAAAATAATTTCATCAATAACTGGACACTTTTTTTCTCTTCTGTGGTCTTTAAACATGCTGCTTCATTTCAAGGGGACACAAGGCAGAAAAGTGGAAGTAACTACATTTAGAAGGTGCTGTAACACTGCACCTTCTGTACTGGCTTACTGTTGTGGCAAGGTTTACTACCTTTCCACAGCAGTCATGTTTTTCCTTGTTGTAAAACTGTAAGCTTTGGGGACTTGTTGACGTCTCAGTGACGTAGAGAGTAGTCAGTCAGCTCCTGTGCAGGCTCCTCAAACTGAAATCTGTTATTATGTTTGGCTACTTCAGTGTAAATGTGTAAATCTGGCTTGTGTCATCATAAAAGCATCTCTCAGTTTCCCCTGTCTTGTTTGTTTTTAGTCCACATAAAGAAGTAGATAAATTAGCCACATACTCAGATTACAGCAGCAAACTGTATTATTTTTTAATTGTCTTAAAAATCTGTTGGAACCTGATCTAGTGTAGTATCAGTGAACCTTCTAGGAGCGCTCTATCTGAGATCTCTGCATGTTCTTCTGCAGTCTAGCAAAGAGATGGCTTGCAGTGTTATATATAGTATAGCTGCAAATGTATTAATGGCTCAAGGCATATGTGTACATATATGCATGCAGCTTCACCACTCTGAAAGTCCTTTGGAGATGTGGTAAAACCTCAAATTCTCAAACCCACACAAATGTACCAAAGCATCAGTAAAGCAGTCTGGTCTGACGCAGATAAAGCCTTTTATGACTGCCGCTGACATTTGTCTGAGGTTGAATTTGTGTTTGTGTTCAGTCCATGAGCGTGCATGCTTTTCTTTGACGCCTGCTTGCCTCCTCTCTCTTTTTTCACCACACAGTCCTGCTGTACGTACGCAAGGAAACAGACGAGGTGTTTGATGCCCTCATGCTGAAGAATCCCACGCTGAAAGGCCTGGTGGAAGCTGTAAGTTGTCCTCAGTTCACCGAACTAGCTATGGATTGTACTAAAGAACAGTTTCTTGCATCATCTAAGCTTTGATGAGTCACTAACACAGGAATCGTGCAAAGTAGTGATTGGGGAAAAAATAAAAATGTGTTTTTTAGAATTGCACAGGGGACAAAAGGTGTTAATGGAGGGGAGGGTTAGGGGAAAAGATTTAGAAAAGACATGGAACGTGGAAATGTCCTGGGAAAAAAGTGGAATGGGTACTTCAGGGGTCATCGAGTTTAAAAAGATGAAAAAGAGTGTGAAGGTCATGGATATTAGTAATGGAGTACTTATGTGGAGTGGGTGAGATAACAGGTAGTAGAGGTGTTCTGTATTTCTCTTAACACAAATTTGTGTTTGTTTTGTTTTTTCCAACCAGATTTCGGAGAAGTATGAACTGCCTTATGATAAGGTTGGAAAGGTCTACAAGAAGTGCAAGAAAGGGTGAGTGTATACATGTTTATCACATTTCCACACTATGTTTGAAACTTTGTGAAGGAGGAAATCTGTTATCCATGAACAAATGAATACAAAATCCATAAAATGTATTTCTATATTTCTTGGTGCTTTACTGAACTGTTTCACCTGCAGATGCAATAGATCATTTAGTTATAACCAATCATATTTTTCCATTGTATTTCTACACTAATGATTGGTTTTTCTCCTTTACATCAAATTATTTTATATATATTATATCATATAAATTATAACAAAATATATTTATATTATAATAATATATATAATTTAGTGCTGTCAGCGTTAATCTTGTTAAAATGACGTTAACGCCACAACCGCACTAATGCAGTAAATCTCTGTCAGCGAGTTAGCGCGGATCGCCCCGTGCATTGGGCTGCACGGCATCTACACGTTACTGCGGTTAGCTCGTTAATGTGTTGATGCCGTGCAGCACGGGGCGATCCACGCTAACTCGCGTTAACGTCATTTTAACAATATTAATGCTGACAGCACTATTATAATTAAATCACAACAGGTTCTCCTCACACATAAAGTAACGGTAAACTTGGGGATTAATTGACCAATCAGCAATTAGCACATGCAGATGAGGTAATCACGACCTGGGAGGAAATACGCACATGCCTTACAAGGATTACACTTATATAATGGGAGAAAGTGTTTATGCTAAGCTAACCAGCTGGTGGCTCTGGCATGGTTAGTCCTGCACGCGCCCAAATTTAGTGCTTTCTAATATGCCCCTTTCCAGCTCTGTGTCTTTATTCTTGAACTCCATTAGAGTAGCTTTGCATGAGTCACAGTTCAAAATAAGTGTATTTATTGTATACTGGGCCATTATGTGAAGCAAAAAATCTGTCTTTTCACCTCCCTTAAAAAACAGCTGTCTTCTCTTTGAAAGAAAGTAGGTGGGAGGGGTTACTAAGCCTAAATGACCATATTAAGTATTTCCCCTGTCACTGATGTCATACAGAGCTAAGAGTAGAAAAAGCTGTCTGAAATGATTTGTTTGGATCATATTGAAGCCCATGTTTTTGGCTCATATGGATTATTTGTGGATACACTGACGTATTTAAAACTTTGGCTATGATTCATATGAATATGTACCACTGCAAAATTACATATATGTCACAATAATTCATAATATTAAAAAAACATTTTAAAATATTTCACTTCAACACACTATTTTGTCATTTTGACAGCATTCTAGTCCACATGGATGACAACATCATCAAACACTACTCCAACGAAGACACCTTCCAGATCTCCATGGAGGAGTTGGGCGGCTTGTACAAACTCACCCTCACTGAAATCTGATTGGAGATGTGATAGATTACCCTGAAAAGAGGGGCTGAGGACAAATGGAGCCGTCAAGTTTACACTTCTGGTTATGCAGTGATTATGGACCTGTCATTCATGTTGTCTGCGTGTTGTATTAGCGTTCAACAGATGTTTTTTTGTTTGTTTGTTTCCTTTTTTTAAAAGCCATAGCTCTTAACGGATACTGGTTAGAGATGTAAGTTATACATTTTGATCATTATAAAGCTGTTTGTTTGTGCATAAGAATTAACAAGTGAGGACATATTTGACACTGACATGACACTTTTGCATTTAGTGAGAATATGAGCTGAGCCTCAAATGTCAGTGCCTGCTTTTGTATATTTTGCTCAGGCTTGCAGAGCAGTTGAAGTGCTGCTATACCTCATGCTATACAAAGCAGCAGAGTTCATTCATTCATCAGAAGAAAGAGATTATCTTTCCCATTCTAAAGCCACAGCGCTGATGATCTGCAAAGTTTAGCACCCAGAAATTCGTAGTAAAATGCCCTTGAATTGTTGATGAAGCTCCAGAGGTTCAGTGTATTAATACTAAACAAAACGTGGCAGTATTTAGTGTGTAAAACCATCATATAATTTGGTAGAATATTGTAAATGTATTTTTTTTTTTAGCCTAGAAGATTTTTTTTAGGTGCCATTAAAAAAATGCTTTTTCTCATATCAATTTAAATAATGGTCTCCTCTGTAAGTATTAAATGGTCACTAAATATGTTGATAATATTGCGAAAACAGAACTACCCTTTTCCTCTAGAGTAGATTCACAAATGCTGTAAAAATAGGTCAATTAATATCTAGCACAGTCTGTAATGGCTGTCCTGGAAGTGCAATATGATGATTCAGAAAACAAATCTCATCAATTGCCATAACATACACTATAGAAATCATGTTGTTGTTTTTTATTTGTACATAGCAAAAAGAAAAAATGGATCTAAATGATCTCTCTTTTGTATCTCAGTACTTATTGTGTATATATTTATTAAGAGAATGGATGTGGGTCATTGTTTTTTAACCATATATAGATTTCTATTTCATCATAATATAATGTTGTTGTTTTTTTCTTTTTATATGAAGTTATTCAAAAATTACACGTTCAGGGACACAAAGTTAACATCTTTTTGTTGTTTTTGTTCCCTAATAAAAGCTCTGCTGTAGCTGCTGTTTTGGTTGTGTAAGGCTTTTTTTCTTTCTTCTAATAAGATGTGTTTTATTAAATATCAGATATGATGGTGGTTGATCTGTTGGGCTGTGGCAGAGATTAACTGTCGGTCCACAGGAGCAGATGTCTGGGCATCAACTCCAACCCTGCAGACAGGAAGTGGGCATGACAGGATAGCCTGGTGCAGAGAAGCTTCTCTGTCGGAAACCTGGCCACAAATTTCCACATACAGTAGCTGGCATGCTTTGATTGTGTTAGGTCCTGAAATTTGAAACATTAATGCTACAATTAACATTTAAATTACTCATTTTTGTAAAAATGTAGAAAAACACAGTACCCACGCTTTTAAAATAAAGTTTACCACCCAGAGCGGTGTACTACGAAGCGATTATAATGACTTAATGAGCTATATCAAACCTGATCGGAGGCAGGTTATCCTTCATGTTTCGGTTTAAAATCATTTGGAAACATTACATTTCACTGATTCATTTTCACCGATTCTTTTATTTCAAACATGTTTTAAGTGTAAGTGAGAATATGTTTTATATGTGCAACTTGTCAAGTTGTAAATTACTAAAACCACTGAATTAAGTACAAAGTGTGCATCACAGAATTGTGCATGTATTAATTTGGTGATTTGGAAAGTGTAAAAATGCAGAATTGTAAGCTGGCAAAAGACGTACCCTTAGGCCCCCTCCTCAATTCAGAGATGGTCTTTTCCTTTTCACGTAAATTGCCTCCTTGACTTCGCGCTCAAACCAGCGTTCCTCCCTGTCCAGGATGTGTACATCAGCCATTCCCCAACTCTCTGTGAATGGTACTCATGGCCATTAATCAGTGGTCTTTGATCAATGATCTTTGATCAGTGGTTGTTAATCAATGATCATGAGAATTTGCATATTAATGACCTCCCAGCCCATTGTTCCCTCAGTGGTGCTAGTTTCATTCATTATGCAAATGTACTGTTTATAAGATTGGGGAAACCTGCAGTCAGCTGAGACTGAAGAAGTCACTTGGATGAGTAACGAATCGTTTCACCCACTAAAAAACGCTACATCCAGATGAACAGAATCAACCTTTGTGGGCAGGTAATCTAAGCTTTGCACCATTTCCACTTTCCCACGCTGCCAAGCCAATTGTGACATCACGGGTCTAGTCCAGTGAGCATTCTGCTGGCCTTCTTCAGGCCAGCTTTGACTTTAAAACTTTAAATCTCCCTGCGCAGCTGTCATTCTTCCTTGCAGTCGACTTCATGCAGCCCACCTTTTCTCCATCACTGCCTCTCTTCACTCCATTCAAGCCTCCATCTTCATCTACGCCATCAGCGTCTAGACTCTGGGAGGGTCCTGCTCTAAACCCTATCACCACTATGATGGGCCGTTGGGGTCTAACCGCCAAATACCTCAATCTGAATTCTTTACATCAATAAATCATGTTCATTTCCTTCTAATGAGTTCTCCTTATTGAAATATATCACTTTTCAAGACTAAGATCACAAAATGCTCCTCCAGAAAATAACAGAGTATTTTTTTAAAAATGGGGAAAAAGAGTTAACTAAACACAAGTCTAAAAAAAATTGTTTTTAGTCGTTTCTTGATAAAGACCACTGAGTCCATAGACCTCAAGCTGCCTTGGTCAGATTAATGGCAGTTTTTTTGTTTTGGTACTTTTGCATTTGCTTCATTTTCCAGCCCTGGAGGTTGTTTTACTGAATCTTGCCAGGCAAGCAAGTTGTCTGGCCCACCCAAACCAACCAAAACCAAACAGGAATCTTTTTCTTTTTCTTCAGCCAATAAAAAAAAAAACATCACAGAAAACAGAAATACCCTTTCTAACTGGGCGAACAGCCTACAGCTTGCTATAACAGCATTAATTATAACTGCTTTTATAATCAGCTGCACAGCTTTTGGAGAACGTCTTTCTCTCTATCCTGTTATCAATAGATGCAGATGTTGATTCCTGCTGTTCCTGTCTGTGGAGACAATCTTACAGCTTCTATCGGTGTGTTTTGGAGCAAATTAATGTTCTTAATATTAGTTCAATAAGGAAAGATCATAAGAAGGAGCTGAACATGATTTATTGATATACAGAATTTATTATCTAGTGATTAAGCTTGGATGGTCCATCACTACTGAATAGACACCCAGCATTAATAGAATTTAGGGCAAACAACCCCCTCACCCCGCTCCCCAGAGTCTAGAAGCTGGTGGTGGAGAAGATAACATGGAGGCTTGGATGGAGTGATTTGGGTAAGGCGGAGATGGAGAGGAGGCAAGTTGCACGAAGGAATCTGCAAGAGAGAATGAGAGATTAGCAGTGTGATTTAGGTTGAGAGTGAAGGCTGATTGGCTTAAAGAAGGAGGTCAGAAAGATGATTGGACTAGAGCCATGATGTCAGCATTGAGTTTTATAGTGTGGGAAAGTTATGTAAAGAATAGCCAAACACCTGGGAAAGCAGACAGACCAGTGAATGCAGGTCATGCTTATTGAACTTAGTTGTTTAGTCTGTCTATTTTTATTAGTGGTCATGTACAAAAGCAGACATTTCAGCATCTAAACAGGGATCCAAAACAAAAACCTGCAAATTAGTAGCTGCCTGCTCTAACCCCCAGTTTTGTCTCACCAAAGTTACCCACCCGGCCCTGCTTACAGCTGTCAGTAAGTAGGTAGACTCATGCAGTACTACCATTTGTGGCTACAGAAGCAATCTGATCCCTTTAAACATATGATCATAAAAGAGGGGGCTCTCTTATGGTTCAGTTGTGCAGTTATAAAGAGGAGAAAGCACTCATTTAGTTAGAATTTAACCAACCAGCCTCGCCATTGTTGCCATGTTGCCATGTTGCCACACTGCGATGCTTTCAAGTGTCTTCCACCATCTGTTGTCTTTTACTTTCTCATTCTGCAGGAGAATAGATTAGAAAAAAACTCTACTATTACACATGATGAAACTTTTTTATGGCTGTGGAAGCACGATATAAATAAACTTGAATTATTTGCTTACTGAATAAAGCTGTTTGTTATTATGTTTCTGTATTCTAAAATGTTGAATATGCAAATGATCTCATTAAAATGCCCTGAAAGCTACTTTCAACTGTTCCCTTATTCACAGGAAGTCACCACAGCAGGTAGCTCCACATGTTTGATTTTATATGATTTTTTTTTTTTTTTTTTTTTACAGCAGATGCTCTTTCTGACACAAACCCAAAGGGATTTTTGTCTCCTCCTGGGAGAAAAAAAGTGTAAACCACCACATTATGAAGCCACAATGAGATTTTTATTCTTATTGAAATGCACTAATTTGCATAAATGATAGTGGACATATCCTGTAAAGACAAATAAAAATGTGTGTTTTGGACATTTTCTTTCAACTAGTTTGAGTTAGCATAACGTCTTGCATTAAACCCACTGCTGGTGTCATGAAGGAACTTCTGTTGTAAGTATGGATGACTGATCAGGAAAGTGGTTCCTGATCACAACTCTTCTCTTATATGATTTAAAGAAATTGATTTAAATTGAAATTAGTAAGTTAAGCGTTGGCACTGGATTTCAAAATTTCTATAGTTACATAAGGCATTGTTACAACAGCAGATAACAACAGGTTATTAAATGTAGCAGAAAATGAGAACTAAAGTGACTGCGTAAACAAAGTGTAAAGTACAACAAGCAGTTCAGGGTTAAAATGAAGGGTTTAAAGTACTGCTGTATAGAGTTGTAAAGAGATATTGCATAGGAAAGCTGAGTCATCTCTAGTGAAGTGGAGGTTTCAGAAGACCCTTCTCTCCCTGCTGCATGAACATTGTCCGTGTCCGCTCCTGATGAGTTCATTGCATTTTTAACACCATCCTTTTCCTTTTAATACCCAACAGACCACAGCTTAGTAAATGTAATTACAACAGACTTAGAAAATATTCTTAAGTACAAAGAGTTGCTAACACATATAGTGAAGAACCAAAGCGAGCTTGCGCTGGCTGTTCCTGCAGAGATCCTCGGAGTTCCCGCTACAGTACAGAAACTGTACTACAGGAACTTAAGTTCTTTACTGAAGAGCAGTTTTAATATATTTGCACCGTTTTCTTCTTAATTTACTACTACTCTATAGTACATTTGTTATACTTTATACTATTTTCTACTTCTACTTTACTATAGTTTATACTCCATGTCATTTTTAAAAGTTCTGATTACATATATAGATATAATATAGATATAAATCTACTAATAATATTAGAAAACAACTGTTTTCAGGTTTAAGGCTGAACATTGACATGAATAACCAAAAGCCCCAAATTACTCTACGGGAACTGGGGAGGCACACTACAAAGAGGGAGGACACAAGAAAGGGCAAAGGGAGACTTGGACAATATATACACAAGGTAATGAGGTGAGGGGAAAACAGGTGGGAAACACAGTGGGAATAAATCTGGAATAATCAGACCAGGGGAAGTCAAATGAAATATAAAACACATGAGACCAAAAACCTAACACAGAGACACAAAGACAAGGATTCAAACATACAAACTAGACACAGAAAGACAACCAGTAAAACAATAGTAGAAGCACAAACAGGAACTAATAAACCCAAATTCATCTATAATCAAGCAAAGAAACTTAAAAACACCAGGGAATATGAAATTGCATCACTAAAAGAAGACTATAAATATTACATAATCCCTTCATTCTGGAGTCTTCTGTTATAATACAGCTGGTGGCCATCCATCTGAATGGATGATAGAGGGCCCAGTCTGGCTCTTATCGGTCTGTTTACCTCTAATAAAACCCTTTGAATGGACTGATAGGATCCAAAGTGGGTGTCCCTTCTCAAAACCAGCAGAACTCATAAACCCACAAAATTCAAAATTCAGTCAATAACCCAGGTGCAGTGATAAATGGATGCTTTATTACTAAAAGGAAAGATGCCCAGTAGTGGAAATCTAATTAAAATTATCTCCTGCTGCAGTGTTAAAGTCATACATACATTAATGAATTATGATCCAG